AAGAAGATTCTGATTAGATCTCTATTATCACGTACCAGATTGATGTTCTTCCCGAGTATACATAACAATCTCTTACATAGCCTATTTCTAGCTTAAATAACTAAAGGTTATTTTTTGCTATCATCTCCATCGATGTAATATTTCAAATTTCTATTCTTATGTTAGGCTATATGTTTAGAGGATATCTAAAGAAAGACTAGTTTTTTCAAGGCTAAATGTAAGAACAGAAATTTTTTATTTCTGTTTCTTGGTATTTTGCTCTGTGAATAAACGATTCAATAGTAAGAATAATGACAGTGCAGAAGCTGGCTATAGAAATGGCTATCCGAGTAAAAATATGAAACAAAGTAATAATCGGATGGACTGATTCTATTTTAACCCTCTCATATGTAAATTTTATTGTACATTTAAAAAGATAACTTATTTAAAATGTGTGAAGTGTGAAACGCCTTACTTTATAAACATTCCATTTGAAAACAATTACTATGTCAATTAAATTAATATATAATGTATACAAGTATGAATTATACTTATATATATTTCATAGATTTAAAAAATTTTCTTTATATTCTGTATGTTATACATACTGCATAAAATATGGCATTATAAGGTAAAGAAAATTTTAATTATTACAGGCATTATTTATTAATGTATTATTGTACAGATTAATAAGTTTAATAGTTAAATAATTAATAATATCTTTTCTTTTATATCAATTTTAATCAATGATTAATTTATTATTATTTATACTATTCATGCAATATATATTTTATATGTAACTATAATCGTGATTAATTTGCATTCTTTTTTATAATAATTAGCTTTGCATTCTGATCATCATTTATGATTTCTTGAAATTTAATGAAATAATTTTCTTTTATATTAAATATTTATGAGGAGAAAATAATATATATTAGTTGAACTTTGTTTTTTCTATAATGAGTCTTTCAACCTGAAATCTAAAACTTAAATTATCAAGTACAAAGGATGTAAGGACATGTTGTTATAGAATCTTTATATGAGAGGGTTAAATTAGTAACTGATTTATTGAAAATATAATGAATTTAAAAAAAAAAAAAGAAAAAAAGAAGTATGAATGTTACAAAAAATTACAAACTATGGGAAATATAATTTAAGCGGCCAATTAGTCATCGATACGTAAGATTTAAAAAAATATATTACAACATGTTACGACAGCTTTCGCCATACAGGAACTAAGTAATCGACGATTGTATTAATAGGCACTTTTTGGGTAACCAAAGATTATCTTCTACACCGTCTTAAAACATTACAATTGAATCACATATGAATATATGTAGTTGGCTGATATAAAAATTCCCTTACAGGGATTGCTAATCAGGGATCATCGCATAGATTAAAAATATGCCCAATTCTATTAAAACATTAAAAAGTAAAATTATTAGTAAAATCGTACTAAGTTAAAGTTTTAAAAGAGGCGAATGAACAACTAGTTTACCTCGAGAATCAAATGTGCTTCGTCTTAGCAACGATAGGATTTTTTAAAAACCTTAGTGCAAAGATATCGAGTAAATTCAAAACGTGCTCTTCCACGAAAGCCTTCGTGTATCTGATATATGAGAAAAGAAAGGATAATGTGATTTATAATTTAAACTTTAGAATGTTAAGGATCTTTTTAAACCTTTAAACGCTTACGTTTATATTAATCAAGATATCATGAGATGTATATTTTTGATTTCACGTAATACCATTAGTCGATGAATCGGTAAGTTCACACGGTACATTCGAAAATTATTTCAACTTCTCGGCAGCTTTTTCAAAAATCTAATCTCATTGATTATGAAAAAGACGAATATTTAAGATAAAGATACATGAAGAAAATATGTGAATGTTGATATAATTTAAGAACGTATCTAAGAACGCTGTTGTAGATGCAAACGCTTTTTAATACGAATTTTTAATATTTACTTAATGTTAAAAGCAACGCTAGAAGAAATTTTTTTTAATTACGTGTTATAAAATGAAGCGTGCTTATACAGAAGTAATAATAGAAATTCCGTTTAAAATAGTGTTTGCATAGATGTTTTATCTCAGAATTTCTTATAATGCAATTTAAGTATCCTGAATATCGATGTCTATCGATGTCCGATTTATAGCTACTCTGTCTAACCGTCTATTTGTTGAATGTATATTAAATAGTTGCAAGGAAATCATGTAATATTAAATTATTGTTACAAAAGGACAATTGATATTATAATGAATTTTTCTTGCGTCTTAAATTTAATGTATAATATGGATTTTAACGGAGACATCGTAAATTTGTTATATGATATGTGATAGCCGTTGAAATTTTTCCGATACGATTTGTAATTTTTGTTCATAAGAACGCTGCCATGTTAGCGTAAATGTTTAATTAATTAATGATTTTTGTTTATTTAAACTTCATTAATCTCTAGATTTACCGTTCGACATATACTTGTAATTTATTCAATTCAATTTTTGCCATAATGCACTAGATAACGCCAATGAGCCTCATTGGAGCGAGAATCTTTTTGTCGAGAAACTTCTGCCCAGGATCCCCCCCCCCCCCCCTCCCTCCTCCCTTTCCCCCTCTCAATGCGTGTATTTTATGTACAGTCTGTATATTATGCGCAAAATTTAGCGGATCAAAGTCTCGAAACGGATCGAAAGATTTCGATCGAAGTCTCAGATCTATCGATAGTGAATCGTTTGTTAGAAATATCTTCGAATTTTATATAATGAAAAGCGCTGTTGTACTAAATGCTTAGTCAGATTTAAATAAGTTCGAATTTTAATCTATACACGTTCCTCCTACTCTTGGGTTACCTTACAAAGGGCATGTTGTCGGTACAATCATGTTTTATTATTATTATGAGATGTAATATTATTATTATTATTATTATTATTATTATTACTATTATTATTATTATTACTATTATTACTAAACCACTTTATTATATTATATATTATATTATATTTCTCTAACGTTTGTAATTAGTTCACAATGCCCTTTTATATTATCAACATATTTATTAAAAAGATTATCTTAAAATATTCATACGATGTACATATACGCACATACTATCACAAAGTCTTAAGGTTCACTTAAACCTCCATGTTCTCAGGGTTTCACTTTCTAAGAACCTGCTAGTTAAAAATGTAAAGAAAGGAGGAAAAGAGAGTTGCGTAATATCAGTTGTGACGAATCATTAATTTAAGAAAGGCAGGACATTTTTTAATTGCACCTTTACCTTTCTTCGAGATAAAGACAAATATCCGGAGCACTTACTTGCAAAGTATTATATATCTATTATACGAATATACACTGTACATTTTTTACACAAAGTGTACATTTTTTTTTTCTTTGTTTCGTTTAAATTTTCTCTCCTTTTTTTTTTTTTTTATTCGTTTTCATTTATCGCATAAACGAGTGCAGTCTGCGAATACGGAGGTTTTATCGAGTTTTGATACTTTTTTTTTTTTTTGACGCGAAAAAGAAAATTTTGAATTTCTTCGTTTCCATCATTTCTCTCTCGCTCTCTTTCTTTCTAATTAAGTGTGGATGTAACGTGTGATTTTATAGTAATTTGTGTGTGACTATTTCATAATATCATCAGACGTGTATCGGCAAATGGAGATAAATGTGCAAACGAAATACAGATAGAAATGATCAGAGCAGGTACCAAAGTTTTTGTAAGACACTCAGACGAGTGATATAATACTCTAAATCCCTTAGAATAATTTTTCTTGCGTATCATTGAAAACTAAGGGTACATATATGTAGATTAAACTAACCGATTTAACAGTATTACAATTCTAATAATATTATATTCTAAACATGATCCTTTTTGCGCGATCAGTATTCTCTCTGCTCTTCGTTCAATTACTCTCATTCCTGTAAAATTTAAGCCGTTTCGACGATTATTGATAATTTATCTTAGTCTTATAATTTGTCTCTTTAAGTTAATTTAAGAAATTCCATTGACGATACACATCTTTTCGAAATACTAATTATTATATTATTATTTATTGATAATCGATTATTCAAGTAAATATTCTTTCAGTTTTTATACGATAAAAGAAAAAAAAGATAGACATGAAATGGGCGAAAAATTGTAGCAAAGAAGCGATATAAAAAAAAAAAAAAAGATTATTTTGTGAGTAAATTAAATATGATCCTTGCTGTTTATTCAATTATTTCAACCATAAAAACGTATTAGGATATTACGAATAACAGAGATTTAAATTAAAAGTGAGAAAGAAAAATTGTAAATACGAATAACGTGACTTTAAAATAACTATCGCACATAAATGTATCTAATAATTATTTAATATATTGCAAACATAAATGGTATATATATATATCTATGTTTTCATCGTTTTTGAAATCCCTATATTCAAAATTCTTATTATTTGAAATTTGAAACAATTATATTTTACAACAGGGTTAGACATATTGCGCATGCGCATTATTGCCAATTCATCACGTCGAATCTTATTTAATTGTAATTATTTATAATAACATTTAATTGTAATAATTTAATTTTTATTGTTTAAAATATTATAATTGTAATCACAAAAAATATTGCGAATATACATATTATATCGTTATTATGCATTTTAATTCTTCAATTCAAATCAAATCATCGATTCATGTTTTCCATCGTTATCATTATAACGAATTACTAAAAAACGTTTTCAGAATTATATGTACCTTAATCCGATATGGTTTTATTTAAATATGAACAATACAATATATTTGTGATACGTTTATGATAATGAAAATAATAAAAAGTCTATAATAAAATATTTCACAATTCCGAAAAAAACGTTAACATTGGCGGTAACAGCTGATTTCAAAGGTAGACCTCTAGCGGCCATCATTAGATTTATTAATATACAAGAAAGAAGGAAGTCTAGAGAGGGGGAAATAGAAAGAGAAAAGCGAGATGGATACACAGGCGCAGTCTTGCGGCAGATTTCCGTAGGAGAGAAAGATCAATGGGTGGTCAGAGAGTAAGATGGCGGACTGCGAATCGGAGGTGCAGCGCTTGCCAGCCGCGAACGAAGACGTAACGAGAAACGCGAATGTAACAATGATTACCAACGGACGCGTGCCTCAACATCCGGTAAACCAAACAAATCCTATCGGACAAGGACCAAGACGCGTCACTATTTACAAAACCGAAACTGGTTTTGGGTTCAATGTACGCGGTCAGGTCAGCGAGGGTGGACAACTACGAAGCATCAACGGAGAACTGTACGCGCCGCTTCAGCATGTCAGCGCCGTATTACCTCGAGGTGCTGCCGAAAAAGCCGGCGTACGAAAAGGCGATCGTATATTAGAAGTGTAAGTAACTTTCCTTCTCGTTTGTTTTGTTTTTAAATCTCGATCCTTTTGTTACACCACGATCGTTTTTCTACCGATCACTGTACGTTCACCTGTCAAATGACTACTAACTTTTATTTCTGAGAGATAAAAAAATTTCTTATCGGTTATTTATGATTTATTAGAGTAAAAATTATATTTATTCTAAATGAAAACATTTAGAATGATCCTATTCTATCTATTACGCGAAATGTAACAAATTAATTCGTAGAAAATGTTATCCGCTTAGATTCGATAATCAAATTGCTGTTTGTTTTAAGCTTTATCGATATCGTTACGATAATGCTTGTTTTAATCGATTTGTCTAGTTAGATATAATATAATAATACGGAAAAGTAAAGAATGATTGGTTTCTTGACAAAGTTTACATTTCACCTGTTCATTCTACTATTCTATTTCCAATTAAAAATTCAATTTTATTTTCATTTCGTTTTACTCAATATTTTCGTATTGCATCTTTTTTTTTATTAACGAATAGAAAATATATTGAACACGTATTTATTTATTTATTTTTCCATTTTAATTTTCAAGCATTAAGATATAAGATATTCGACTAGAAATGTAATCGTTGTACCGATATAAGTGAAATAACGGTACAAGAACACAAATGTATGCGCTTCAGATTTTGTAAATAGATTTAACGTATAATCGATTAATTCTTTACACAATCTTGTTTTTGTTTTTATAGGCAAGACTAGTTATTTCTTTAAAACTAGTTGTTTCTATAAAATTGAAAGAAAAAAATGAAGATATATAAATTTTAATAAAATAATCTCGATATATATAAATATGTTTTTATATTGATTGAAAAATGATACAATGATGAGTTTACAAATAATGAAAATTATTATATATCATTCTCTTGCTTCATATGTATTTAATCTGTGATTTATCAAAGAATGACGAATTTCTAAACGGAAAACTGTCATGACATTAAAAAATTATCACAATTAAAATCTTTTAAATTTTTATTTTAGAATTATTTAAATTTTGATTATAGATATTAATGCAACTGATATAAATCATTAGAAATTTAATTTTCGACTAAATGATTAAAAGATTCCAACTTATTACTCTTTAATCTTGTTTTCAATCGATTATTAATTATATTTGTAAGCAGTATTATAAGTAATTAAACGCATCAATTTATTAAATATAAACAGTTTTAAAGAAATTATGTATATACATGTAACGTGATAAAATTCAGGGTCATGTTCTTTATGTCATTTTTTTTTTTATTCCTTGTAATCGAAATATGTTTTGACACAAAATTCTCTAGTTAGATGAATCGGAATTAAATCTAATAATCTAATAAAATCTAATAAATATTAAATAATAATAATAATTATAATATAATTATAATAATAATAATAATTAATATTAATAATAAATATTAATTAAATCTAATAAATAATAATATAAAATCTTATATTATATTATATGCTATTTAGAAATAATTTTTATAATTTGTCTTTGCAATCTTATTGTTATTATTATTATTATTATTAATTATTAACATATTTATTCTAACATATTTATTGTAAATAAATTAACGAATAATTTCTAGTTTCGTTTAATTATTTGAATTTTGCTATTGAAATGCAAAGATGCGATCAATTTTTTTTTATTATAAATGCATCATATTTCCAATCCGCAGTGAAAAACGTAACAGATATAATTATCGTTTTAATCTTTCGTTGTTTTTTAATTTCACAAGATCGACGATTCTTCGCAATAAGGATTTTAAGCATTTGATAATTTGTGTACAATATACAAACATTCATACATTTTTTAAAATGCTAATTAAGTTTAAATTAATTTTCTTTTCAAGTCGTTTAAATAATTTTCGTATGATTCTATATTTTTACGGTGTTTTTAATAGTAATTGCTAGTTATTAAATGAAGATGGAATTTATGCATTTGCATATGATTAACGAAAAAAAAAGAAAGAAAATCAATTATATAACGAAATATTATCTTTATTTTTTTCATTCATATAAGAATATATGAATAATTTGAAATAACTTTAAAATCAATGATTGTGATTAATAAATAAAAATAAAATTAAAATTGGATTTTGAAGTACGAATTCGTATCGTTTAAAATGCGATTGGATTTAAATTTATTACCAGTTTGAAAAAAATATTTAATAATTTATAGATGAATTTATCGTAATAATTATCGATATAATTGCAAAGAAAAAAAATAATAAATAAGAAAACACGAAATATAACGAATCTATTGATCATTTAAGAATATTATACATTAAATTTGCTAATTATTCGTATGAATAAATTATTCGTATGAAACCTTGTCGAAAATGAATAGGGGGAAAAATGATTCACGAAACTTAATATTTTTATATCGTACAACTAAAAATTTTTTATTTTCCTAATTATTAAAATCATGCAGTTGCTTTAAATGATTTTTATTGAAATAAAAATATAATTGTACATATATTATGATTACATGACTTTAATTATAATCATTAATGTATATACATATTTAAATAGGCAACATAAATCTATAATTCTAATTGAATATTAATAATTAAATGAATTTGCAAATAAATTATTTTTAGATTAGACGTTAACATTCGCGAAAATTTCTTTTTGCCACTTAATATAATTAATAATGATTAAAATCATTGATAAATAAAATTACTAAATAATAATTAGTAATTAGAATATAAACTAATAATTATATAATTTAATAATATGAAGGAATTATATCTTTGTAAAAGTAATATTGAAGAATTAAGAACAAAAATATTATATATAATTGGAGGAAAAAATGAAGAAGAAATTTGATTCCTTTCTTCGATATTTGCCAAGTATTATAGCTCCTAAAAGATTTGTTCTTTGTATGGCTTCTAACAAGTGGTTACATACAGTAGACACGGCAATATCGTGGATAGACTTTTTAGCCGTCAAGGACACGATATTAGATTAAAATGAAACGGGTGTTTCTTTGATGTGATTATGCGCTTCGAAAAAAAAGAAAGAACTTATGAGCCTTCAAGCTCTTGAAAGAAACGGAAAAACAATTGTAGCAATTGAACAAATATAATATTAGAAATAACGACGAATCTGATTACTATACATATTAGTATATACTAATGTAGTATAATGTAGTATATATTAGCATAGTATATACACATAGTATAGTATAGTACAATATAATATAGTAAGAAATGATGAATGTAAAATATAAATTCGTGGATAATTCTATAAAAAAATTATTTTAAATGGTTTTTACATTTGAATAATATTCGAAAAAATAGATTAACAAAATAAGTTTCACATTAATATCTATAATTAACTTTTCTAATCATGCCTTGACCGATTTTATTGCAATAAAGTGGTAATTATACGAATGAACAGTTGAAAGGAAGAAGTACTATATAGTTTGTTTCAAACTCTACTAACAACTCACTTATTTACAATATAGAGTATAAGAAATGAGGATATGAGGATAAAATTTAAACGAAATTTAAAATTTTCTTTTTTTTTTTAATTTTGTAAATGTAAAAACATTCTAAATTTAATTTAATAAAATATATCTAATTTTATATTTATATTTATTATATTGTTATATTTATATTGTTTTGCGAATTTAAAAAATATGTTTAAAAAAAAATACTTGACTAAAATTTCTATTTACCTGAAATTCATAAATATTTTGTAAAGTAGTACACGAACTATTGTTGTAAGATTATTTCTATTTATCTATTTGCAATTCTAATATGATAAGAATATATTATTAAAATTTTTTAGTTTACTATTGGAAAAGTTTTCAATTTTAATTTTATTTTACTTTAAATACTTTAATCAGGAAACAATTGTTATTAATTAATTCAAAATGCTATTCGATAGTTCTTATTCAAATCATTTAGCTTACGAACTCATGCAGAATGAATTCTCAATCTGTATGATAAATGAATTTTTATTGCAATTTCACGATTTCTTGTATATTCAATAAATATTAATTTAAAAAAATCGGATCGAAATTTATTCCTCAAATTATTTCTCTATTATAATCAATAATTTATTCGTTTTTTATTCAATTTATTATAAAGATAGATTTGATAATTTATATATATGTATATATATATTAGATAATTTTTTAATATAATTATATTAAAACATTTTTATTGTCTATTTAAAATAGAATAATAATTTACAATTCTTTATTTCAAATCTATTTTTGGCTACTTCAAATTAATATATTCGTGAAAGTCGATGTCAACAAAACAAAATTGGCATAAAAAAATATCAATCAAGGCTTATTTATTAAGTTATAAATAATTTTAGTTTAGATAAGGTGAGACGGAGATAGAATAAAGCAACTGTGTAACAGAGGAAGCGTTGTCTCATTCTGTATCTGTCTTATTTTATGTAATACGAACTTAAACTGCTTATAACTTAATAATTTAATAAATAAGCCTCAACCGATATTTTGTTTTGACCTCTAGAATCGATCCTTCAAAAGTGCCATGCAAAATATATTAATCATCTTGCTATTAATGTGTTACTGTTACAATTACTATTATTATTACAGTTAAATATTTTTATTTGTTATCTTATATTATTATTATATTATATATGTTAATATATGTGTTAATATTTATTAAACATTTAAATTAAACGACATATGTTTTAATGTGTCCAAGATATTCTTATTACTTTTTATTCTTTAATACAATATTAATTAAGATTATTCAAATGCAATCACTGAAAGCGGATAATATATTGTACATCTTTTTTTTTTTTTTTAGTATAATTTCTCTGAACATCATCATAAATAATGCTTGAAATACAAAGATTTAACGATTGTTATTAACATAATTTAACATTTTAAATAGTAGAATATAAGAAACATGAATTTTCATTATATTTCATATTTTTGTTTTCTATTTAAATATATATTATTATCCCTGTTATTAATTTTTTGATAACATT